TACAGCGCTGCTAAATAAACTACACGTGATGAACAGAATAATTTAATACTTTTTAGGCATTGCAATGTTTAGAAGATTCACATAAACTTAAGATCGCCATTAATTTGACTGGACAATTATAGTCAAAGAATGGAGCACGTATTTCTGCGGCCGTCTGGAACGCTCTTCCTTCTGATATTAGGAAGCCACTGGAGCAATGCACTTTCATATCTAGATAAAAAAAAAACCTCATTTGTTTAGCTCTAATTAGCACGGTTGGCTATCCACGGTGAGAAAGAAGCTCAACATACATACACAAGATTAACCCGCGGAATCGTGAGAGGTGGCGGTGGCTTGGAGAGGCCTTCATCCAGCAGTGGCTTGACCCTGGCTGATGATAATTACATCCCAATTGAGCTATTATCGGAGTCACGCGAGGGGCGGCGAGGAGATGAAGTATTTGGCTGCTGCCATAAATGTCCACGTGATGATAAGCCCCGCTTCGGTGAGCTATCGTTTGTGGCAGCCAAGGTCGCTTCTGAAAAAGAGCTACACGGCAGTTCAGTGGACCTTACCTGGTAAAATTAAATGAAAATTGTTGAAATAATCAAAGGAAACGTCCTTCTGGAACTCTTACAGTCGGCAGAGCTTCGAGGCTACAGACCCACGTCAATAGAAGTCGCTTCTTCAAACCTTTCCCGTGTCCCATGATGTAGACGTACATCATGGGGAACGGAACTGGAAGAAAAACTAAAATGAAATTACGTCATCGGCACCGAGGCTCCCACAAGGCCATGCGGGAGGGCATGTGGCAGTTTGGCGCCGGTAATTATCGTAGAGTGCGGTCGTGTCGCTACAGTTCTATGCGGTGAGTACAATGTCTTTAAAAACAACTGCGCTACCACGCCTCTCGAAATTAAATGAACGCTGAGCCGTTTGCGCGAGATTCAGCGGTGAGCTGGACACCCACCCAGCAACTTACAGACGTCTCGCAAAGGGAAATTGGTTAAGTTACCTAAATTCCGGCACTGGGAATTACAACATCGGATGCGACTGTCCATACAAGGAACCTCACTGACTCTTGACGTGCAGAGAAAGTGGGGGGAAGCGATCTTCCCTTCTACCGTGTGGACCACGCGTCACTTTTAAGGGATCTAAAGGGCAGCCCTACGATGTCCACTTCCGTGGGCCGTTCTCTAGCACGAGAGGGGTTCGCACTGCCGAGCGAGAGGATTCTTCGCCTCGTGCGTGACGGACGCGACGCCGACAGCACAATCAAGATAAGAGTTGGGGCAAAATTGAAATAATGAACAAAACTTCGTTCTTTAACACTAGAGGGCGCTCCTTCACGGTCTCTAAATAGTGAAGGCACCATGAGCCAGTCGTCCAATATTCTTGTAAATGCCACCCTCCACATTTGTGATGAACATAAAATTAGGGTTTTAAAAAAAATACTAAAGAATTCTCCGCATCATAAGACGCGCTTTCCCACCCCCTTGCATGCTGAAGGAAAAATTGGTGGAGCGTCTCATAACCTGGGCCTGAGCGACGATATTTGTATAAGTTAATTGATACAGGAGCACAAGTTTTGGGGTGCGTCTTATTTCTGGGGCGTCTTATAATCCGTAGAACGTGCTAGAAAATTGATTGTGTCTGTGCAATCATTCGCGCGCGGGGCTGAAACACCTTAACTCGCCGGCTTAACAGCGAGCGGCTTAAACTTGGGAGTCGAACCCAGACTCGAGGCTCGGCGTGGCGTTCCTGGTTTCGGTGCAAGGTGATGCTGTCACAAGTTCAAATCCTGGTCGGGGGGCTGACTCGGGCCAACATCTCTCCGGGGTCGATAAAATATGAATCGAGTACAATGGTGGTCGCGCTCTCGATAAGAGCCCCCTCCCCCACCACGTCCCCCCCGAGGAAGGTCGTGGAATTTCCACCACCGACCCAAGTCTGTTTCTCAGGAAATAAGCAATGCCTCAGTGCTCATGTAAGCAGCAAATCTTCGTGAATTTCGACGACGTGAATATCACCGCGCTGCTTCGCGCGTACTCAAGGATGTCTGTCCGTTATTCAGCCCCTAAATAAAGTACCAAATCAGTAGAAAGATGAACGGCGGCACAGCAGAAGTCAACAAAATCAATTCCCCGCTCTAAAAATGCAAGTTTTTTTTGGTTCTTTGAGACCTCATCTGGGTGGAGCGGGCCAAAATGAAACCTTGAACGGAGAGAACGGCCTTTTCAATCAGTGCTTCACTGCCATCAGCAAAGTCCCAAAATCGTGGCTCACTGAGCGAACACTAGTGTCAGGGCGTAGCGGTGCTTGTGTGGACGAGGCGAAGGTGAATGGTAGAGGTCGCAGGCCATGCGTCGCCCGCACCACTGTGGTGAACGAGCGACCGCCGAGGGAAGCTGGCGAGCTGGTGAGACCGTGCCAAGGGCGCCGACAGAAGGCGATAATTATTTATCGCGTCTCAAACACGACCATTGTGAGTCATCTCTAAGGTTGAGGTCCCTCTCAACCACTTTAGCTGAGGTTTATTTCACGAATAGCGCATTCCCTCGCCAGTCACGGACTTGCTATCCGCGATTTTGGCTATCGGTGATTTTGGCTGTCAGCGAATCCCATCTGAAACTCAGTACGACTGCTGCACCAATAGAGAGAGAGAGAAATAAAGTGATGAGAGATAAAGTGATGAGGAAAAGTGATGAGGTAAAGTGATGAGATTGAGTGACGAGATAAAGTGATGAGATAAAGTGATGAGGTAAAGTGATGAGGTAAAGTGATGAGGAAAAGTGATGAGATAAAGTGATGAGGTAAAGTGATGAGGTAAAGTGATGAGGAAAAGTGATGAGATAATGTGATGAGATAATGTGATGAGATAAAGTGATAAGATAAAGTGATGAGGTAATGTGATGAGATAAAGTGATGAGGTAAAGTGATGAGGTAAAGTGATGAGATTGAGTGACGAGATAAAGTGATGAGATAAAGTGATGAGGTAAAGTGATGAGGTAAAGTGATGAGGAAAAGTGATGAGATAAAGTGATGAGGTAAAGTGATGAGGTAAAGTGATGAGGAAAAGTGATGAGATAATGTGATGAGATAATGTGATGAGATAAAGTGATAAGATAAAGTGATGAGGTAATGTGATGAGATAAAGTGATGAGGTAAAGTGATGAGGTAAAGTGATGAGATTGAGTGACGAGATAAAGTGATGAGATAAAGTGATGAGGTAAAGTGATGAGGTAAAGTGATGAGGAAAAGTGATGAGATAAAGTGATGAGGTAAAGTGATGAGGTAAAGTGATGAGGAAAAGTGATGAGATAATGTGATGAGATAATGTGATGAGATAAAGTGATAAGATAAAGTGATGAGGTAATGTGATGAGATAAAGTGATGAAGTAAAGTGATGAGAGATAAAGTGATGAGGTAAAGTGATGAGATGAAGTGATGAGGTAAAGTGATGAGAGATAAAGTGATGAGAGATAAAGTGATGAGGTAAAGTGATGAGGTAAAGTGATGAGAGATAAAGTGATGAGGTAAAGTGATGAGATAAAGTGATGAGATAATGTGATGAGGTAAAGTGATGAGATGAAGTGATGAGATAAAGTGATGAGGTAAAGTGATGAGGTAAAGTGATGAGGTAAAGTGATGAGGTAAAGTGATGAGATAATGTGATGAGATAAAGTGATGAGATGAAGTGATGAGGTAAAGTGATGAGGTAAAGTGATGAGGTAAAGTGATGAGATAATGTGATGAGATAAAGTGATGAGGTAATGTGATGAGATAAAGTGATGAGAGATAAAGTGATGAGAGATCAAGTGATGAGGTAAAGTTATGAGATAAAGTGATGAGGTAAAGTGATGAGGTAATGTGATGAGATAAAGTGATGAGGTAAAGTGATGAGATAAAGTGATGAGATAAAGTGATGAGGTAATGTGATGAGATAAAGTGATGAGAGATAAAGTGATGAGGTAAAGTGATGAGAGATAAAGTGATGAGATAATGTGATGAGATAAAGTGATGAGGTAAAGTGATGAGGTAAAGTGATGATGATGTTACTGCGCAACATCATCATAACTTAAGGTAAGCTAATTTATAAACTATTTCGATTTAAAGCTTTCGTGACTGCAAGGATTCATCTTCTTTGGTTCTTTCGGTAAAGTCACGTAGAATGAGAATAAAATAATAAATTGATAAAATAAAATAACACAATAAGATTCTCACGAAGTTTCGGGTCGCAAAGACGACAACGCTGTTCTCCTCCAGACAGTCTCGTCCCTTCACCTGATGAAGGCCGCTTGTGTTGTGGCCGAAACGTCGTGAGAATATTATTGTGTTATTTTATTTTATCAATTTATTATTTTACTCTCATTCTACGTGACGTTACCGAAAGAAACAAAGAAGGTTATAAACTATTATTTTATATTTTACTATTTACTTTTATTTACTTTATGTTTATTAGGAGCATTTTTGCGTTATTATTTAATAGGAAAATAATAGCCCCGGTCAACATCAGTGGAGGGTGACATCTGAACCTGTCCTGGGCCTCCCCGGTCTGGATGAGGGCCCTGGTCGCGGGCCATGACGCAGCCCGTTAACACCCACCAACTACGAACTCACAGCCACGACTTGCTTTTAATTTTTTTTGTTGAAACTGTTATAGGATTGTTTATTTTTTTTTACGCGCGATGATGTGATGGTGCTTTTGGTGGCAATTATCTTCACTAAGCTGCTTCTGTTCGTCCCTTAAAACTGCCACCCTCTCTTCTCCTCTAGCCTATCATCATCATCATCATCCTGCTACTGCTGAAAAGGCGCAAGATGCTAACCAAAAATAAATTGACTTGACTTGGACTCGAACTTGGCTCACCAGGTTAACTACCTCGCCTGGTATACAGGTCATGGGTTCGATCCCGACCCTGACACTTGGTGCTGTATATTTGCAGTTTGCGTGTCTCTCTCTCTCTCTTACCATCATCACGGTGGCTAGGAGATGTTAACTTCCTCGCCTGGTATACAGGAGGTCGTGGGTTCAATCCCGACCCTGACGCCTGCTGCTGTATATTTGAAGTTTACATGTTTCTCTCCCTGTGGTCACGTGGATTTTTCTCCCAGTCCTCCAGTTTTTTCCCCCTTTACACTTAGAATCAGCGTCATGTGCTTTAGAGTATTTTGCTACTGCTATAAATGTCCACATGATGATGATCAGCCACTTCTCGTTGAGCTCTCATATGTGATAGCCAGGTCGCTTCTGAAAAAAGAGCTACATAGCTCGATGGGGCCTTAGCTGGCAAAATTAAATTTTAAAAAAATATATACATAGTTGTTTCATAAATGTTGTTAGCTAACCGCTGCACCGCCGCTCCACCCTGTGAATCACTGCACCACCCCGCGCGCCCACCTCCCGTCTTCTTCATCCGGCTATTTCATTGTCAGAGGCTTGCCGAGCCGCCTCGCCGCGCGCCTCCCGCTGGATTTGGCGGCGTCAGGAGGGGGGAGTTCGTCAGTCGCGAAACATGTCGCAGATGAGACGCTCCATGGGGGCGCTGTGCAGCGCTCGCTGGAAAAATATCTTCTCCAGGCGGTCGGCGTGGATCAAGCGGAGGGCGGGAATGAGCAGCAGGAGCTTGCCGAACCTGCCCGCGCAGACAACGCGCGCAGAGAGGGACAGGCGACTTGCATCCCACTGGGTGTTGCGTTTTTGCACGCAGCGTTGACGTAACGGTGTTTTTTTCCGGAATATTTTGCTGGGGTTTTTTTTCCCCCCCTGGATTTTTCCGTTGCGCGTAGTCACCGTGAGGTGTTCCTTTGCTCGTGTTTTTGTTTGCTGCGGTTGCACCCGAGTCAAGGGCCGCATGGCTCACAGGGCTACTCCTGATAAATGAAACTATGAAACTGACGTGGGTTGTTGGGACGCGGCGGCGCGTTGTTTCCCGAGTGAGCTGGGCCACGTTGCCAGCGCAATAGGGTAGGGGGCGGGCAAGTGTCGTGAAGCGCAATTGGTGGCATGACGCCAGCGACGGCACGGCCACGCAGGCAGATTTCGGGGCGGGCGCCTAAGGGCGCCTGGTTTAAGTTGGGCACCGAATTGGAGGAAGAAAAAAAAGACGAATAAAAAAACACACAAATAAAATAACGTAGATGTCACTGTTTCAATTACCGTGCGCGTACAGAGGGAATATGAATTATAATTCATTTCTCAATATTTCTGAGAATGTATTGGTTGGACAGACGGATAGATGGACGGGCAAATCGAATAATTATGCCTCTGTTTAAACAAAAAAAAAGGCGCTTAAAAAACATTAAATGGAAAATATGGGCAAAAACTTTCACAGTTTACCAAAAAAACCTCAGTCTAGATCTGCCCTTCGACTTTGGGGGGTGGTTGGCGCCGATTGCATGACGATGCATCGGTTCGTTGATTGATTAAACGCGGCTTGGTCCTCGTTTGACGCGGTATAGATGCGTTCCGCGTGAAGCGAACACGGATTCCCCATGAATAATAATGTGACGATGAAGTTTGTGGCAAGTTACGATCGTTGCTCCTGCGTACACGCACGGTGAGATGGCGAGAATCATCCAGCGTTACTGCATCACCCTACCGCTCAGCCGCGCAGCTCAAGAAAGTAGTTGGTCGTCGACTAGATTGAAAACTCATTTCTCTTGGACCGCTTCTTTTTGCGCTCAGATCGTTGTCCATCCCCCCGCACCTCCAATCGGCACGGTTGGCTACGCGCGTACGCCCACCGTGCGAGTGCCACGAGAGGCTGGAGTCGTACCTTGCCGGCTGACTGGGGTACAGAGCTCGGCAATGCTGATTCAGCATCACCTGAGACTGGTCCTGTAAACTCTCCACTTGGTCTCCGTCCTTCAAGCCGCTGGCTTCTGCGGATGAGATAAAGGCATGCAAAGACGCGCGCGCGCGAGCGAGCGATTAGACATTCCCCTCGGTTCCGCCAACAGAGTATTTATTTCTACTGCAGTAGGAATCCGATGAGCTTTGAAGCTCCTTTCACAGATGTCCAGAAGGGGCACGGGGTTGGAACGTTACAACAACAAACGATACTACAAAACACGATCGGAGTGCAACATTTATCAATGAAGGATAGGGGTGTAAAAATGGTTACTTGAAGGGCAGCCAACAGGCTCGTTATTGCTAAGGCAAAAACTATTTATAGAGAAAAAAACTGAAAAGGTAAAAACGTGGCGTGAGAAATTCGAAAATACTTCCCAAACTTAAATACAAAGTTCATCAATAAATTTGCTGGAGTGGTGTTAGGTTATTGTTTAGATCGGTCGTTGAACAATTACAATGCCCGAGGGGTCCAACCGGGCAGATGGCAGCCCTCCCAACTATTTTAACTATGAATATATATTTTTTATTTTGCCAGGTAAGGCCACACTGAGCTATATGCAGCTCCTTTTTTTCAGAAGCGACAGGTCTATCACAAACGATAGCTGAACGAAGTGGCTTGTCACATGGACATTTATAGCAGTCAGATACTCTAAACTCGTGATGTCGATTATCAAAATGTTTTACAAAATAAAAAACTCAACTATTTTATTAACTGCAGGAATCCATATTCTTTGGGTCTTTCGGTAAAGTCACGTGGACAGGTTTTTACTGATGACGACCGCTTGTGTTGCGATCGAAACGTCGTAGTTTTTGTTATTTTCTTTGAACCTATCTACGCGACTTTACCGAAAGATCCAAAGAATACAGGTAAAGCCCACTGCGCTTTCAGCTCTTTTTCACAAGCGACCTGAACGAAGTGGCTTATCATATGGAAATGTAAAGTAGCCAAAACACTCTAAACGCGCGATGTTTATTCCACATGTGGAGGGGAAACACCGGGGGACCCGGAGATAAATCCACGCGACCACGGGGAGAGTAACGCAAACTCCACATACAGGGACTCCTCTACTTACGAATGAGTTAGGTTCCAATCTTACTCCGCTAACATGTTGTACGGCATGTACACTAAATACTGGGAATGGCTTTAAAAGTTGTATAATCTCCTGTAGATGTAGACGCCACTGGTTCTTCATGTTCTGCAGATGTCGATGCCACCACCGCCATCTATTGCACAGCGTTTGAACTTACGACTATCGGTTCCAACAGGAAACTGGACATACGAACAGGTTTGTTCATATATCTGAAAGTTCGTAAGCCGAATGTTCACATACCTGTCAACCCCTTATCAGTGCCTATCTTATCACAGATCAATTCAGACGTCATTGGTCACCCCGTGCCCTTATAAATCTCAACGTTCATCCTACGAAGTCCCATCACAAGGGAGAAACACAAACAAATAAGACAAAACAAAATTTTGCCCGCACTGAAATGGCTGCACGCAGTACGGACCTGAGAACTCAATTTCCCTGCACAAGAATACGTGGTAAAACCATCTGGGTTGACAGGGTATGGGAGTCCCTGCGTACAACAGGCGTTAGGGACACGAAATCGAACTCGCGACCTCCTGCGTAATCAGCCGAGGGTACTTAACATCTACCGAGCTACCGTGGCGCTTCCTACAGTGGACCCTCCCCCAAAAAACGTGACGTTCCGCAACCACCCCCTCGACACTGACCTGGCTTGAACAAGACGACCGCCTTGAGGCACGCGAACTCCGTGGGGTCCACGGTGAGGTCGCGGAAGCGTTCCGTCATGTCGCGCAGGAGGCGAAGGTCGACAGCACCCCCGTGGGCGGCCTGCAAAGGGCACGACCCCTCGGGGCTGCCGGCAGCTCCGAGGGGGCAAGGGCAGGGCGAGGCGGCGGCGGCGGCGGCTCCCTGGAAGGCGCGGGAACCGTCGCTGTGCAGCGCCCACTGAGCGGAGCAGAGCAGGAAGAGTTCGCTCCACGCCTCCTCTAGCAAGATCACCTGGCGCACGTGCGCGCGCGTGTGTGTGTGTGTGTGCACGTGTGTGTGTGTACGTGTGTGTGTGCACGTGTGTGTGTGCACGTGTGTGTGTGCGCGTGTGTGTGTGCACGTGTGTGTGTGCACGTGTGTGTGCGCGTGTGTGTGTGTACGTGTGTGTGTACGTGTGTGTGTGCACGTGTGTGTGTGCACGTGTATGTGTGTACGTGTGTATGTGTGTACGTGTGTGTGTGTGTGTGCACGTGTGTGTGTGTGAACGTGTGTATGGGTGCGTGTGTGTGTGTACGAGTGTGTGCGTACGGGGGCGTGTGTGTGTGTACGTGTATGTGTGTACGTGTGCGTGTGTGTGTAGGTGGGCACAGGTTGGTGTATCGATCAGTCATCTCAGTCAAGTCAACCCATGGCACCTGCTGGGTCTGTCCCGTGAGCTATTTGCCAGTGGGCGTTCGACACTTCACGTGGCCTTAAAGTGGTGTACCTAGCCTGGCACAGGTGCCGTTGTGACGTCACCGCCACTTGGTGGCGAATGGTGGGTGTTGTGGTGGGGAGCGGTAGTGTAGCGGTTAGCGCTACGCTGCCCTACAAACCCAGCCAGCCGGGTTCGATTCCCGCTCACGGCCAACACCAGTGACGATTATCTGAACCGGTCCTGGGCCTCCCCTAGGTCGACTCAACCTCAAATGAGTACCTGGTGCGGTGCGTAAACATCGCCACTGGGGAGACAAAGGCGGCCGGGCGTGGCGCTGGCCACCCACCCCCTCGTGTGCCGTGTCGGCCTTCATAGGTGCTCGCTAACAGCACTTGCCCCAACAGTCTGTTCAGGCTATACGGGGGATCTTTGTCTTTGTGTGTACGTTGACGGGACGGGGAGACAGGGCCGGTCCAGGCCACTACGACACGATGGGAAATGGATTGAGCGTTATTGGTGTTCATCTCTCCACGAATGTACATTCATGGCAGCCAAATACAGTACCTTAATGTCCTAGCTGACCTTTGCACGACTGCGATTATAGTTCCCGAGTGTCATTTCAGAGCACGCAACGCCTCTCTGCACGATTCACGGCGAACTTACAGCGTTCTTCTTCGACGTGCCGCGTCTTTTTTGGGTCCGTACGTCGAAGCAGTTAACAAGCGTTCATCTCATTTTGGAATAGGCGTCTTGGAAATCATTACAGAATCCCCGCACGTGCGTGGATTTTCCTTCCGTTTTTTTATTATTACACGCTTTTTTTTAAAACTCACTCTGTTGTTGTATCCTCAAATCTTGCAACTCAATGTGTACCCACTTCCCAATGTGGTATTGACTGCAAACTTGGTATACTTATGTCATACTGATGACAATGCTATATTCTTCTTCTTTGGTTCTATCGGTAAAGTCACGTAGAATGAGAATAAAATAATAAATTAATAAAATAAAATTACACAATAAAATTCTCATGAGGGCCACTTGTGTTGTGGCCGAAACGTCGTGAGAATTTTATTGTGTTATTTTATTTTATTAATTTATTATTTATTTCTCATTCTACGTGACTTTACCGAAAGAACCAAAGAAGATGAATCCTTGCAGTCACGAAAGCTTTAAATCGAAAAATACTAGATTCTATCATTAAAAAAAAAATTCAACATAATTTTTTATATATTATGTTTCGGCTTGGGTCTAATTGTCCACGCTCAACTGACGTTGGCTGTAAATCACCACGGGCCCCTTACGTTGTGTCAAGCTTTGGGGCCCACTTCCTGGAGTCGTGCAGTACATCCATTACCAGTACGGTACATTTCATTAAAGCGTGTTTAAAAAAAAGTTTTTTTTTAACATTACTTATTTTTGGTCCCACCCACCCATCGTCATCGACGACAAACGCCAGTGCGTGACATTGACGCACCCTCTTCTTTGGTTCTTTCGGTAAAGTCACGTAGAATGAGAATAAAATAATAAATTGTTAAAATAAAATAACACAATAATATTCTCACGACGTTTCGGCCACAACACAAGCGGCCTTCATCAGGTGAAGGGACGAGACTGTCTGGAGGACAGCGCTGGACGCACCCTGTGGCATTATCGCTATGTCCGCACGGCCTTGCCTAAGCGATGCAAATCCGACAATTAAATACCCCGTGACGTTGTCCCCAAGGGCGTGAGACCACCCACAGAAAGCGCGATTGGGATTGGGGGTTGCCCGAGCCTCTGAAGGCCGCGGCGAGTCTGATAGCTCCCTCATCCGGATTATCGGTGACGCCAACTCGGAATTACATTTAACAAAAAAAATCGGATCATAACGGATGGGTTATTTCGGCGCAAGCCATGTGTCGGAGCGAGCGTCATTGATGATCCCGGAAACAAAATAGGGGGGGGGGGTGGGTGAAATGAGAAGCTCACGAAGAAGGTTAACTTGACTGGTCATTGACACTGACGCTCCGGATCGAACTTGTGTGCGCTGTGAACACGTGGAGCGTCAAGGTAGCGTTGGGTAAAACAAAACAATTATGGGCACCGAAATGTCTCGTTCTAAATGAATCGCCCGATGAAGGCGCTTTGCAATACCCAGCGAAACGTCACGGCACTCGAAATTGTAAAACGCTATGGCATTACTCTCGCCAACGCGCAACCGGCGTGCTGAAAGTCGTGACAAACCTTTTACTAATCAATCGGCCGTGTCGGATTGGTGACGGGGTTTAACGACGCATTTATATTTTTATCTCGGTCACGTCGGTGACCCCACCCAGAGGTGCGCGTAAACTCGTTGCCAATGAGGCTATCGAAGCTTTTCCCCCATCCACGTGTCTTCGCCGTCCAGACATTCGATTGGCGCGACGCGGAATTCCCCGCCCCCGGCATCATTGATGATTGGCGCTTCTTTTGTGCGGCCGCTTGCCTGGTCCCGGAATGGCAGGGCCGAGAAAGCGGGCAGGTTTTTCGCCCACTTGATGGCCATGAAGAGGAGGCTCATGGGAGTGTCGGAGACCTCCGCGGAGGCCACGGGCAGGCACTTGGGAGAGGCCCGAACCCGGATCGGGGAACGCGACTCTCCCGGGGACTGGAGCGTCGAGGCCGGCGCCTGCGGGAGGCCCGGGCTCGAACCGCCAGGCCCGAGAGCCCGATAGTGCCGCGTGGAGGTCTCGCTATCCTCCTCCTCCGTCTCGTCCTCGCCTGTCACATCGACAGCCTCGTCTGCAAATGAAACGCCGGAGGCACGTGAATGTCGACGGTCGGACAGATCTGCGAGGTGACGAGATAAGCACCGAGTAACATGTATTCACCGCGGTCGTGCCGAAGAGCTTTCAAATGCGGTGTCAGGTTTTCCCGACCCGCGTGTTGTCTGACGTTTCGCTGCACGTGCTGGGAGCCTGTCTGGAGAGGTCTTGAATGCGATTTATATGGAAATAAACTCTTGAAAAACAGTTTGTTTTTTAAACAACGGTTTTATTTAAAAGTGCACTAAAAAGTAAATGACTCGATTGTACAACGGGAAGTGGACAACATCTTGATTACAAGAGACACGTGGCGCCTGCTTCTTGGGCGAGGCGATTCCAGAGTTCAGGGACCGCGGCGTTTTTGACCTACCCAAATAAATATTTAATAAGCCGTCCACACAAAATGATGCCGATTTTGACACAGGCATGCATAGTCACTGGATCTGAGTACGCGTGCAAAATTTGGAATTGATTGGACAACAGGAAGTAGACAAAATTTTGATTACAACATTTGACCACGACAAACATAGGAGTCAAGTTAAGTAAAATCGTTGAAAAAAAAGAGGCAAGAGCAGAGAGGTGGCCAGGTGGCTCAGAGCATTTGAGTGCCAAGCTTGGCACGGCTGAGAGCCTGGGTTCGTATCCCCGGCAGTTGCCTCATAAGCCTTGTTGTTAAGTTGTGAATGAGCTGATGGTGGCCTCGGCCCGGTCACCAATGAGTACGCAGAAACGCTGTCGCATTACATTTCGGGGTCGCACTCAATCGAGCTAAATTCCAGCACTGAAATTTTAAAACATCCGTTTGACTGTCGTGCAAGGAATGATGGCGGGGGAGGGGTGGGGATGTAGGCAGAGGTCACTTGAAGAAGGGGACTCAGAAGAAGTTCCGTGATATCCGCTTCCGTGGGCCGTTCGCTAACATGAAGAGATGTCTGCATAAGATCCAAGCGATTGCTTCGCGTAACCACACGACCCCGATAGTGCAAACGGGATGACATTTTTGTTTTTAAAGGACCAAAAATTCAGGCCCACGGAGAATTCTCATTTTCAAGGGGCGGCTTCCCCGACACGGCAGGGAGAGTGCCGCTGACCAACTGAGCCACCCCGGTGACATTTTGAAGCAACCCTTTCTCACCCACCTTCCTCTGGTTCTCGCTTAGCATACGCCATCGGAACTGTGCCGCCGCCGCCGCCGTTGCCACCGCTGCCACCAAAGCCGCCGCTGCTGCCACTGCAGATGCCACCGCTGCCACCAAAGCCGCCGCTCCTCTCACTGCTGATGCCACCGCTGGCACCAAAGCCACCGCTCCTCCCACTGCTGATGCCACCGCTGCCACCAAAGCCGCCGCTGCTGCCACTGCTGATGCCACCGCTGCCACCAAAGCCGCCGCTCCTCTCACTGTTGATGCCACCGCTGCCGCCAACGCCGCCGCTGCTGCCACTGCTGATGCCACTGCTGCCGCCAACGCCGCCGCTGCTGCCACTGCTGATGTGATCACTGCCACCAAAGCTAACGCTGCTGCCACTGCTGATGCCACCGCTGCCACCAAAGCCGCCGCTCCTCCCGCTGCTGATGCCAGCGCCGTTGGCGTTACAGCAGCCGGTGCCCATGTGTCTGCTAAGCATGAGCCTGGCGCCCAATTCGGGGTCGCCGGGCCGGACCTGGGCAGTGCTACGTGGCTGCCGTTCGTTCTGAACGGCTGCGCCAGGGTGTCGGGATACACAACGATACAAACAAAAAAAACAGGGACTTGAGTTTTGACGGGAAGCTGTGGATTTTTTTTGTTTGCGCTTGAGCGAATTAAATCTGTTCCGTCGTCGTCCCCACGTGAAAATGTGGAGAGATGTGTGGAGAACTTTTTTCGCACCGTACGTAGCCAACCGTGCTAATCGGAGATGCGTGTGTGTTGGGTGTGGTGGAGAGCGGTGGTGAAGCGGTTAGCGCACTGCGCTACGAACCCAGATACCTGAGTTCGATTCCCCACTCTCGGCCAACACCGGTGACGATTATCTGAACGGGCCCTGGGCCTCCTTCCCTCGGTCGACTGAGCCTCTAATGAGTACCTGGTACGGTGTGTAAACATCGCCGCTGGGGAGACAAAGGCGGTCGGGCGTGGTGTTGGCCACCCGCCACTTCGTGTGCCGTTCCGGCCTTCACAGCTGCTCGCTAACAGCGCTTGCCCCCACAGTCTGCAAAGGCTATACGGGGGATCTTTGTCTTTGTTGGGCGTGTTGCTGGCCACCCTCCCTCGTGTGCCCACAGTGCCGGCCTTCACAGCTGCTTTGCTAACAGCGCTTGCCCCAACAGTCTGTTGAGGCTATACGGGGGATCTGTGTGCGTGCTTGCGTGTTAACTGTGTCGCTTTACCATCCTTGTTCATGCCCGCGTGGAGACACTTGCGCAGGCGACAGGCCTGGCACTGGTTCCGGTGAGCTTTGTCCACCGTGCACAGGCCTGTGCTGGCCTGGCACCTGCATTGCACAACACAAAGATAAAGGTTCCCCCACCGTGTAGTCTTCAGCAGACTGTCGTCAAGTCAATAGTTTTTAGTTTGTGCACGCATGGCGCCTTCCTTGTACAAATATGCCACTCAAAGGGCTATCACATTCATACTGGTGACCACAAAAATTGACAATTCTGTACAATGAGAAAAAAACATTTTCTATAATTGTTTAAAAGTTGTGGTTGTGAGTTAGTTGAATGGTGAAAAATAAATGGCTTTTACCCTTTCTTGCAATAAAACAAGAGGTGTTAAAACGTTCAAACACCAAATAGTTACATTTTGCAAGATATCAAGTCCGCATTTAACCACACATACATTGTGGCAAAACATGCATGCACACACACATGCTTGTAATAATAATAGTCATTGTTTTCCTTCGCCCGCACCTCCGATTAGCGCGGTTGACTCTGTACGGTGAGAAATAAGTTCGACGTGCGTTGCTCTTTGGTTCTTTCGGTAAAGTCACGTAGAAAGAAAATAAATTAAATAATAGCATACGACGTTTCGATTGCAACACAAGCAATCATCATCAGGTACAAATGAAAGAGAAAACAAACCTAGTACACTTAGAAATACAATGCAATACAACACAGAGAGTCGGCTAACATAACAGTCAACACCCTACATGTTATGTTAGTTTACTAGGCTTGTTTTCGCTTTCATTTGTACCTGATGATGATTGCTTGTGTTGCAATAGAAACGTCGTATGCTATTATTTAATTTATTTTCTTTCTACGTTACTTTACCGAAAGAACCAAAGAGTAATTGCTGCAGTCACGAAAGCTCCAAATCAAGTTTCAACATGCGTTGTAGGCGATTGCAAAGAGCTGTGCAGTTGAGTTGTGACTTGACTGTCGGGATGGAGTCGAGCATGCGGATTGATCCGTGGAGGTTGTTCCAGAGGTGTGGGCCAAGTGCCGTTAGTGAGTAGCACCTATGAAGGCCGGCACGGCATGCGAGTGGGGTGGGTGGCCAACACCACGCCCGGCCGCCTTTGTCTCCCCGGTGCCGATGCCTCCACCCTTTGTCTCGCCAGTGCCAATCTTTACACATCGCACCAGGTACTCATTTAAGGCTGAGTTGATCTAGCGGAGGCCCGCGACCGGAATATCACGGAGCTACATCCGAGATCCCGTGAAATGGCCTCTGGCCCAAGCAAGACAATCAAATAATTAAAGAGTTAAAAGAAGGCAATTGAATTAACAATAATCATTATAAGTAGAGTAAATGTTTACCCAGAAAAGCAACCGCTGACTCTTATCAGGAGGCTGCTGCATTGGGAAGTTTGGCCAACACGATTGATAGCGGGGGGAGGGTGTTTGTCTATGGGAGGAAATCGGAGAACCCGGAGGAAACCCATTCAGAGCAGCTGGGAGGACAGAGAGAGAGAGCACTCACAAACTCCACAACACGAACGTCGCCGTCTTACTTAGGGAAATCGAACCCAGACCCCTCTTGGCTGAGTGACGTCCCCATAATGCACAGAGCGATCTGAGCAGAGAATCTGCGAGGAGCGACTCAAACATTTCGAGCGCGGTGGCTAGGAGATGTTAACTATTTCGCCTGGTATACAGGAGCTCGTGTATTCGATCCCGACCCTGACGCCTGTTGTATATTTGGAGTTTGCATGTTACTCTCTTCGTGGACGCGTGGAATTTACTCAGGGTCCTCCGGTTTTTCCCCTCCACATTTAGAATCAACATCACGCGTTTAGAATGTGTGGCTGCAATAAATTTCCACACGATGATGAGCCACTTCGTTGAGCTTCCATTTGTGGCCAGGTCGCTTCTGAAAAGTAGCCAAATAGCTCAGTGGGCCTTACCGGGTAAAACCAAGATAGTTTAGTTTAACATTGCAATCACGGTGGCGAGATGTTAACTACCTCGCTTGGTATACAGGAGGTCGTAGGTTCGACCCTGACCTGACCGCTGTATATGTGGAGTTTGCATGTCTCTTCTCCCCGTGGTCGCGTGGATTTTTCTCCGGGGTCCTCAATTCCCCCCCACCCCCCGTCCACATTTAAAATTGACAACACGCGTTTATTTGGCTGCTATAAATTCCCCCACACTATAAGCCACCTTTCGTTGGGCTATCATTCGTGATGTCCAGGTCGCTTCCGTAACAAAATAAAACGCAACTCTACCGGGTAAAAAAATATATATTCCATTAAAATTTTGAAATAACAAAAAAAATAGCCCTTCATAGTTTCTTGAGCGACACCGCCGGAACCTGTAAATGAGCTTGCGCCTGACGCTGCGCTTGAAGAAGCCGCTGCAGCCGTTGCACGCGTAGATGCCGTAGTGCTTGCCGCTGCTGACATCGCCGCACACCAGGCACGTGAGCAGGAGGCTCGCCGCGGTCTTGCGCGCCAGGCCCTCCGGGAAGTGCCTTGCACCCGCGTCGCAGCCGCCGGCGTGGCGAGCCTGGGAGGCGGCGGCGGCGGCGGTTAGCGCAGGGCCGGGGCTGTGCAGGTCGGCGGGACGAGTGCAGTAATCTTGGCCTGTGAGACGCGGGGTGGTTTGTGTGCGCGCGTGTGTGTGCGTTAGCCACCCCGAGTGACAATAATAATAATAATAATGGTAATTATGACTATTTAGAATTTGGAATGCGCACACGCGCGCGCGGTTTTCGTTCGCTCTCAGAGAGAGGGGGAAATTATTCAGAGGTGGAGGAAATCACATACCGGTGCCAATATTGCCCAAGCTCTGTAGTCCTATATTGAGTTTTATTTTTTTACACGGATGATCCCGTTTAACCCGTTGCCCGGCTGGCTTACACGAGGGATCCGTGGTGCGTAAGCACAGCAGCAGCAGCAACAGCCAAAACACCACACAAGAACATCAACATTTCCCGAGAGCGAGTACAGCGTCCTTCGGAATATTGCCCGACTAACAATGGACGTGTCAGGATGCTATATTGGGACGTTCGAAATGTAATGAACATTTTTCACTGAAATTGTGTCATGAAACTGGCCACAGGGCTTAATCTTAGACGGAGCTGTCCAGGGCTGAGCCCCTGAAACTATTTCCCCATTCCCCCCGTTATTGTTCAGGGGGAGAGGAGGCGATTGGTGTCGGGTTGGGGACTCCAGAGATTTATGACAAATTAAGGTCCGGTTTTGATTGCCAATACTGTCGCCATCATTAACTGCAGCAACATCCAGCATGAGATTAATTATTATGAATATTGAACTTCTTTCTCGCCGTACGTTAGCCACACGTGCTAATCGGAGATGATCATCATCACCAGCAGCACCCTCATTTGTCGTAGCAGCAGCAGTGGTATTCTTATGACGATTGTCAGTGTGATTATTATTAACTGCATTAGAAACATCAGTAGCGTTTTTTTTTTTGCCGCAGCTCCATTTATCGGTTTTCAAAATCAGCAGCTGAATTACAAATAATCAGCATCACTATCCATAGCGAAATCAGAAGAGCAGTGGCAGCAACTTTCGTATCAACACCATCATCGTCAACAACAACATAGGCTGCTGCTGCTGCCACTGCAGCAAGCATCATCAGGGTTTTAGAACCTCGTGGACTATAGGATCCGCATCATCGTAAAAGAGAAGTTGTCATGTGACCAAAGCATCATCTTATTACGGCAAACCATTTTGGTGACGAGATTTCAACTACCTCGCCTGGTATACAGGAGGTTGGAGGTTTGATCCCGTCCCTGACACCTGCTGTATATTTAGAGTTTGCATGTGCTTCCCGTGGGCGCGTGGATTTTGCTTCAGATCCTCCGGTTTTTCCCTCCGCATTTAGAATCAACATCACGCGTTTGAATTATTTATCTGCCATATATTTACACGTGATAGGCTACTTCGTTGAGATATCATTTGTGGCCAGGTCGCTTCTGAAAAAGAGTGGGCCTTACCTGAAAAAAAAGATAGTATTGAGTTTAGTTTCTGGGGTAAATTAAGCCAAAGTGTGTTTGTGAGCAAGTGAGCATGGAACGGTGCTCAACTCCTTCGGCTGGCCTATGCCAATGATGGAAATTCATCATTCCCATGGCAGCGACAAGTCCATCCATAGAATGATCACTGTTGACTCTACAGATTGATATTTATTGTAGCAACTCTGGAGAGATGATGATGATGTTGATTTATGCGTTTGTGCCATGAAGAATCCTCAACCACCCGACACAGCCAAACAAATTGAATCGTCACACGGCATACACGTGTTTAATGGGCCACTTGTTATTTATTTTGCTCCTCGGTATGTTGAGGAATAATCCTCGAACAAAGCTAAACTATTTTTATTTTACCAAGTAAAGCCCACTGAGCTGAATAGCTCTTTGTCAGAAGCGACCTGGCCATCACAAATGATAGCTCAATGAAGTGGCGGATCGTGTGGAAATGTAGATCAGCTAAATATTATTTTTTAAACGCGTGATGTCGATTCTACATGTGGAGAGAGAAACCGGACGACCCGGAGAAAAATCCACGCGACCACAGGGAGAGAGACACCGCAAAACTCCAGATATACAGCAGCAGCAAGCGTCAGGGTCGAGATGTAACCCACGACCTCCTGTAAACCGGGCGAGGGAGTTAACATCTCCTAGCCACCGTGGCGCCTCTGCAATAAGTGGCACGCGCATTGCCACTTGGCCCATTGTCACCTTCCCTGTGGTGATATATCCCGCAAAGAATTTCAACAATTTCAACATCTAATTACATTTCGATTTAAATTTCGGTTTTATTATTTCCCTTCTACGTGCCTTTACCGAAAGAACCAAGAAGATATAATTACATATTTAATTCTCATAGCCGCAATTAGCTAATCCAGGTGATATTTTTTTTGCACGTTCATTGGAAGGGAATTCAGAATCTTTATTTAGACTGCAGGAGGAATCCGATGAGCTATGAAGCTCTTTTTCACAGATGTCCAGAATTAAAAAAAATATAGATTTTTTAATACATCACATTTATAGGGGAAGGGAAAAAAAACCATTTTCATCCAGGATAGATCATAATACAAAAATTAAGGTGTACGGGAAGTTTAAAAAAATTCTTACCATTAATCGCCGAGTGAATGCCGCTGTTTGAATCCATGTCTTGAATGAAACGTCGAGCTCCACGCGACGCCAAGGGAGGTAGGCGGTTTCACGATGTTTTCAAATAATAAAGCGGGCTGCAAGCGCCGAAGGTGTCACAACTCCAGCAACAAGTCGTGACTTTGGCTCGGCAAGGCTCCTCTCTCTGAGCCGCGTTCAACTGAGTCATTGATGTTTGGAGATTGATATATGGTGGGTGGGTGGGTGGGGACAACACCAGGCAAGGGAGTTTAGGGAGGGGAGGGAAGGAGGACAGACGGATTGAGGGAGGATTGGTGATGTGGAGCAAAAGCTCGTGGGCTCTGTAACAGTGTGTATGTATATATATGTGTGTGTAATGCGTGTAGTGGGTAGCGGTAGTGTAGCGGTTAGCGTGCTGCGCTACAAACCTGGCGACCCGAGTTCGATTCCCGCTCACGGCAAACACCAGTGACGATTATCTGAACCGATCCTGGGCCTCCCCTACGTCGACTCAAATGAGTACCTGGTGCGCTGTGTAAGCATCGTCACTGGGAAGACAAAGGCGGCCGGGCGTGGTGTTGGCCACCCACCCCCTCGTGTGCCGTGCCGGACTTCATAGGTGCTCGCTAACTGCACTTGCCCCTACAGTCTGTTCAGGCTATACGGGGAATCTTTTTTTGTAATGTGTGTATCAGTGTGCGTGAGACAAAGGCGGCCGGATGTGTTGCTGGCCACCAACCCCCTCGTGTGCCGTGCCGGCTTTCATAAGTGTTACTGGCTAACAGTACTTGCCTCAACATTCGGTTAAGGCTATACGGGGGATCTTTGTCTTTGTAATGTGTGTGTGTGGAGTGGTGGTGCAGTGGTTAGCGCGCTGCGCAACGAACCCGGCTACCCGAGTTCGATTCCCGCTCACGGCCACCACCAGTGACGATAATCTGAACCGGTCCTGGGCCTCCCCCTAGGTCGGCTCAGCCTCAAATGAGTACCTGGTGCGGTGTGTAAACATCGCCACTCGGGAGACAAAGGCGGTCCGGCGTGGTGCTAACTGCACTTGCTCCTCGAGTCTGTTAAGGCTATACGGGGGATCTTTGTCTTGTAATGGGAATAATAATTTATAAAATTGTATTTTTGCTTCTTGTTGGAGGAAACTGGAGTGACGGGTGGGGGGGGGGAGACTCACGTGCATGAGAAGATAACAAGACACAAATACCTCCTTTCTGTACTTGTTTAACACACTGAACCTACCCCTGCAGTTGTCTGACACATGCAGACAGTTCCATTGCAGTGGTGATCCACCAACCCCTCTCTGCGCATCTCCCCATTACATTCACTCATTCCTATCACCGGTCTGTCTCATGGATGGACACGCCCTGACCATAGGAATGAGGAATTTTCCACCACTGGCTCAGGGCTCACAAGAGGAGAGGTGACCACCACCATCTCAATGCTCTTATGAGCGAGACGTTTATTTTGACTTTCGCCAATGGCATAGCATAGTTGGACATGGGGCCTTAGTTTCAAGGAATGAATTGGTGGGGGCCTCTGTTCGATGCCCCCCCCCCCGCCCCGCCCTTCTGTGTAGCCCAATGCCTGGGCCCCATCCAGCCCATGGAGTGCTGGTGCAGTTGCACTGCCTGCACACTCGATGGCTAACGCCACTGCCTCTCACCCTTCTCCCCACCCCCAAATTCCATGCCATCTGCTTTGCCTCTTAAACAGCGGCTAAATTGTTTTCTTTAATTCACATTAGGCCCTGCGTAGCTTACAATAAGTACAGACATTTCTTTTTGAGGGAGCTAATAGGCTAAGATTTGCTCTGGCCGGATAACATCATATGTGTCCATCCGAGCGCTAATAATCACAATTTTAATGAAAATGTCAAAACTCTACGCAAGCGCTAGGGATCCTGCCCTTGCCGAAGGCCACGTGGGGCCCTCAAACTACTTTGGAAACCGCAGATTCAACGCAGAACTCAGCCACTCATGTCGCCGCCCGGAAGCTCTTCGCCGCGACGCAAAGTGACCGGGCACGTTGCTATCAGAAACGCAGCGCTGTTTCCACGTCGAATAATATCCCTCTCTAGTGCCTGATCAGCGCGGCCAAAGTGCTCGTAGCGGCAGGCCACATTGAAGTGAAGAGCTCGTGTTCCCACCGCCCGTGTTAAAATGAGGCACGGGCCACGGATGTACGTATGTGGGTTGAACTTCTTTCGCACCGTACGTAGCCAACCGTGCTAATCGGAGGTGCGGGGGAAGGGTAACAAACTAAACACAATTTTTTTTTATTTAACGCTTTCGTGACTGCAGGGATTCATATTCTTGGTTCTTTCAGTAAAGTCATCACGTAGAAGGGAAACAATAAAATGAAAAATATATAAAACAATAAAATTATCACGACGTTTCGACTGCAACACAAGCAATCATCATTAGGTGTTAAAACCACAGCAAGAAAATTTGAAAAAAATGTCTTGTGGTGATCACACCTGATGATGATTGCTTGTGTTGTAGTCGAAACGTCGTGGGAATTGCATTGTTTTATATTTTTATTATTTTACTATTTCCCTTCTACGTGACTTTACCGAAAGAACCAAGAATATAAGCTAAACACAGTTCTAAAGAATCGAGTTTTCAGTCTGAGTTATTTAAAAGTGCTGCCGTAGCTCCCAGTGGCTTCCTAATATCGGCAGGAAGAGCGTTCCAGACGGCCGCAGAAGCAGCGCATCTGATGGCCAGCAGCCAGAAGCGGCTGCTGCGAGGGCGACCACCGGAGTGAGCGCGATGATGGTTTGTGCTCCTTAACGAGATCATCGAGGTAAAGACAACACAGAGGCCATATCCCACCCATGGTCCATATGTCGCACAACTCTTGCTCTACACCAATCGCTATGAAAATTCGCCGCGCAATTTTAGCACATCACCAGTGCCCAGATCCGCATCGTTTTTGTTGTTGTTGGTGCAAGGTTTACAACAACTGAATGTCAAGATGTCAATATTTTATTCACCATCAACTCGCTGCACTTAAGGATCGCGGTTTAATCGCAGCGGGCGGCTGAATCCCACATTCAACCTCAGAATCTCATCGGTGCCGGCTCAGTGACTCTGACCTCTGAGCTACCCAGCCCACCTCGACCATAATTTGTTTTATTAACACAATGCCACGTAACAGTGGGATTAGCGCTACCGCATTAAAACTCCCGCGTGCGTGGCTGTAAGCTCTCACGCCTCCCTCAATGTACTGGGGCTCATCAGCTTCTACACTTATCTAAAGGGCAACATCATTGTGGCATCATCATCAAATGATGACGTTATACTAGTTAGACTGATAACCTAAATCTTAATTGTCATATGGTTGTTATTGTTTGACGTCTATCTGGCACCGATCTCTTGTGCTGTAGTGGTCAAGCCATTCCCTGTTTGGTCTTCCACTCACTTTCCTGTTCCTTCCATTTTTCCAAACAACAACAACACACTTTTAATTGACTTGTTGTTCATCTCACATACTTGAAGTTCAACTTACATAAATACATATAAAATCTATGCGGTGGACATTCGTCTTTGACACGTGTAGGTGTGAGCAATGCACACTCAGCCAATATTCAACTCCAACAAAAAGAGGGCATTTATTTGGTTAATTGTTGGAATAAATGCCATGCAATGAGTAGGACGGCAGGGTTACTGCCGTCGGGGTGGCCAAACGGGAACAGACCAAGGGCCACAACGTTTCAGTTGAGTTCATCCTCAAGTACCCTGCGAGCTAAGAAGCTCTGAAGCCGGGTTTCATCAATGGAAACCACACCGTTGCCGTGACAGACGTAACACATCAGAGACAAATAGATGAATTATACAAACGAATGAACACATTTAAAATGGGTAAGAAATCACGTTATTTTAAATATAAAATGTTTCTTTTTTTTAGTTTTAGCCAATTGAGGAATTAAAAAGAAGCGCAAGATTCAGCGTCAAAAGTGCCAGTGGCAAACACACACCGTTTCCCAGGAAACACCAAATTTAAATCTCCAATGAAAATGACCAACTATATCTATAAAATATAAATGCGTCATCAATCAAAACGACAAAGCACCGAGCAGTATCGTTTAAAAACAAAGAGAGAGTAGTGCAGACAAGGCACAGGAAGACAAGAGCAGTCACTCACAGACAAACGATGTCCACACACCGTCATCTATACAGTGGCAGCTATATATACAGAGTGCCCATTAGTTTGCAAAGAACCAGGCGAGGTAGTAAACATTCCTCCACCGTGACGGAATGTTAAATACCTCGCCTGGTATTCAGGAGGTCGTGGGTTCGATCCCGCCCCTGACGCCTGCTGCTGTATATTTGGAGTTTGCGTGTCTCTCTCTCTCTCTCCCCGTGGTCGCGTGGAATTTTCTCCGGCCCCTTCGATTTTTTCCCTCCACATTTTGAAACACGCATTTAGAGCGTTTGGCTGCCGAAAAAATCCACGTGACAAGCCACTTTTTGAGCTCTCATTTGTGGCCAGGCTCGCTTCTGAAAAAGAGCTACAGTACATAGCTCCAGTGGGCCTTACCTGGTCAAATAAAATTTAAAAAGTTGTTTCATTTAGTAGTAACAGATCAAGAGCCACAAAGTACCCATGAGTTTGAAAAGAGCCAAGTGTATTCATAATGGAGGTTTTTTGGGTTAGATCGTGTAAATAGATCAGTGTCGTTAAACCCGCCACCACCCGACACAGCCAATTAATAAGGGTTGTCACATAAACAGAACGTGCCAATTCGTCACTAGTACAGCAACACCGGTGTGTTGGAGAGCCAAGCCACAACATTTAGCCAAGAGTATATAGCAGTAACTATAGCATACAACGTAGCATGCAACTATAATCCATTATTCTTTGCTCCTGTGATAGTGTGTTCTACGTCATGCCCATTCGGTAAGAGCCGCCTTGTGTTGGATTAAAGAGCCACCGGTGGACTTGTAGTAGATCGCACACGGGGACTTTGCGAACCCAGACGTCACCGGTTCAATCTGCGACCGTGGCAGTTGAAAGGAAGGGGGTGTTCCTCGCATCGGAACCGCTTCGGTCCATTCTAGATTTGAAGCTTTCGTGACTGCAAAGATCCATACTCTTTGGTTCTATTCGGAAAAGTCACGTAAAAGTATAAAACAACAAAAAAATAAAAAATAAAAAAATATTTTTAATGTACTTTTTTATTTTATTTTTATTTTTTGTTTTATACTTTTACGTGACTTTACCGAATAGAACCAAAGAGTACGCTTCGGTCCACCCAGCAATGCACTGAAATTGGGGACGCCGCAGCTCGTCCGTAGTCAGGTCGCATGCGGTGGGGATAGAGTGCGGACAACTCTCTCCTCGTCCAACCAAGACGTCTGGCGATTATAGAAGAGT